CAAAATCCAATTCCGGAAATTGGAATAGCTCCATTATGTCATTTATGACTTGTGTGCAAATTTTGGGGTCAATCGGACATGATTTGGTAGGTTTCGGCATCGATTGTAGAAGTTTGAGGTTTCAAGTTCATTAAGCTTGAATTGGTATGCGATTCATGTTTTTGTTGTTGTTTGATGTGATTCAAGGGATCGAATAAGTTTGTATAGTGTTTTTAGGACTTGATGGTACCTTTGGTTGAGGTCCCGAGGGCCTCAGGTGTGTTCGGAGGTGAGTTTTGAGCGAGTCCGGGCATTTCGGCACTCTAATATTGTTCTGGTACTTTTGGTAGTGCGGACCACACATTTTGGAGTGCTGAGGCGAAGGAGAGGTGCGGGCCACACATAAAAGTGCGGACCGCAACATAAATATGCGGACCTCAAAGGGGAGTGCGGACCGCACAATTTTATGTGCATCCGCACATCAGAGAATTCTGCAGATCCGCTAGTCCGACTTCGAAAGCTTATATCTTTTGATGCACAAGGAATTTGGAGATGATTTAAAAACGAAAGTTGTAGACCTTCGTGTCTAGTTTTCATAGAAGTAAAGAAGTCATCATTTGGACACTTATAGAGAAAGTTATGGTCAAAATACTGAAGTTTGGTACGGAGGAAACTGTGGTGTGCGGCCGCACGATTTTTGTGTGACCGCAGGATTTGGGCAGTGTGCGGCCGCACTTGCATTTGTGCGGACCGCACAGTGAAGTTCAGAGGAAGTGCTATATAAGCAAGGCTTAGGGTTTTATTTCACATTTTGGACCTTGGGAGCTCGGTTTGTGGCGATTTTTCGTGAGATTTCCGGGGTAAGTGATTCTAACTCGGATTTGATTAATATACATGAATATATCATTGTCTTCATCATTCGATTAGTATTTTGAGATGGAAATTTAGGGAAAATTGTAGAAATTTCATAAAACGAATTTTTGAGATTTGAATACCGATTTGGAGTCGGATTTGAGTGAAACTAGTATGGTTGGACTTGTAATTGAATGGGTTGTTGGATTTTGTGAGTTTTGTCGGGTTCCGAGGTGCGGGCCCCAGGTGTGATTTTGGGCCAGATTTGGGATTTGACTTAGGATTCGATCCTTATCATTTGAAATTATTTCCTTGGGCTTTATCTGATGTATTTGAGTTGCTTTTGGCTAGTCTTGAGCCGTTCGGTGGTCGCTACGCGCGTGATGGAATTCTTCGAGCATCGTTTGGCTTGCTCAGCGTCGGAATTGGCTTGTTTAGGATAAGTAACTCTTTTAAACTTAGTGCTAAGGGTGTGAAACCCCGAATTACGTGCTATGTGATTGATGTTGAGGTGACGCACATGCTAGGTGACGGGCGTGTGGGCGTGCACCCTGTGAATTGTGGCTCTATTGTTTCTAGGGCACTGAATAGTGGCCCTATTTTTGTTGATATCTATGTTTTCTCCATGTGATAAAGTAATTGAGCTGCACATCATGCTAGATATCATGTTTAGGCTTTATGCTGATATTGTTGTGACCCATAGTGGTCGTTTCTTGATGTCATCTCGTTGATTTCACTGATATTTCGTACTCAGTCACATTCATGCATTCATATCATATCTCAGTCTCAGTTGTTACTTATTGATACATCATATCATTGTTCCAGGTTAATTTTTATGACATTGTGAGCCCGTGGGTAAGACTGGAGAGATTGATGACTGAGTGAGGCCAAGAGCCTGATTATGAGTGACAATTATGGGATCGGACTGCACACCGCAACGGTTATTTTGATTTATCATAGCGCTTGGGTTGAAGGAGCCCCTCCAGAGTCTGTAAAACACCCCTAGTGAGCGCGGATGATATTATTGAGGGATGGATTTCCCAGGACATGGATTTGTTCGGAGTATTTGATATCTGGAGATGGATTTCTCCACAGGGTTCGATTGCCCTTTTTCCTCAATACTGGGTGACTTATGGTCAATTTTGTATATGTTTCGGGATGGATTTCCTTGGGTCGCATGGGCCATATACAGTACTGAGTGGTGAGCATTTATATATACCTGGAGATGGATCTTCTCCATGGGACCGAAATGGCCTTCCTCGGTACTGAGTGACTGATGATCAGTGATGTATATATTCCGGGATGGATCTTCCCTGGGCCATACGAGCCATATACAGAGTACCGAGTGGTTGAGCATTTATGAGTGGAGAGTGTGAGCACATGTTTCATCTCTTGGATACATGGTATTTGCATGGATACATGACATACATGCATAGAGATGTATTTTCCTCATACTGTACGGTATCACGTCGTTCATGATTTTCGTTTACACACATTGATATATGGGCATAAGGAAGTATTTCACACTTGTTATTTGGAAAGAAAATGAAACATCTTATTTGTTTTGGAAATGATTTTGGGAAAAATTTCTGTTTTCAAACTATCTCATATTTTCTTTCGAAGATTTCGGTAAAGGATTTGGGTTTTTCACTGATATTCTTGAAAAAAGGGGCTATTTTTTGAAAAACTATGAAAAGGCTGAACATGTTATCTCTGAGCTACTTCTTTGTCTACTTGCTTACATTGTTATGAATTGCTATTGGTTATTGGTGTTGGACCCGACCTTGTTCCATCTCGTCACTAGTTTCAACCTAAGGTTAGGTTTGTTACTTATTGAATACGTGGGGTCGGTTGTACTCATACTACACTTCCTGCACATTGCGTGCAGATTTCGGATGCCGATATTGCCGTGCATGGCGGGAGCTGGATTTGAAGGTGTACCTACGTCCCTATTGTTGCTGCCTCTTGTTCATGGTAGCCTTAGTTTATAAAACTCTGTTTATGTACTATTCAAACAGAAGATGTATTTACTTCATACAACTTTGTAAACTCTACTCTTAGAAGCTCATGATTTGTACTACCAGTCCTTGGAAAATGTAATAGATCCAAATATTTTCTTTTGTCTAATTGTCTTATTAATATTATTGGAATTGGATAGTTATTAGTTGGCTTACCTAGCAGGTTGGGTTAGGTGCCATCACGACGAGTGGATTTTGGATCGTGATAGATTGGTATTAGAGCTTTAGGTTCATAGGTTCTACAAGTCATGAGCAAATGTCTAGTAGAATCTTGCGGATCGGTATGATGACGTCCATACCTATCATCGAGAGGCTACAGGGCATTTAGGATATACTTTCCATCTTTCTTTCCTTATCGTGCGGCATGGATTTAGCTTGAAGCCTAACTCTTTGAATTCCTTCCACGCATTCGTATGCGCACATGAGCGCTCGGTATCAGCTGTGCATCGACGACTTGTGATTCCATGGAAGAGGTGCGAGATGTGATTTCGGTATGCTGATGATGGGCCAGTATGGAGGACTTGAGGCCAGGTTTTGACTGTAACTTGAGCACGGATTTTAATATATAATAATTTAATACTACTATACATATAAATATTTATCATATAGTGAAAATTATTTATATATTAATCTGAAAAAATATTTATTTATCTATGTAATTATAATTGTACAATCAAACATGACACATGTAAATACTGAAATTACGTCAACAAACAAATTACGGACAAATAGGCCATTGTAATTATAATACTATGTAATTAGCAGGATGGATAAGGAATATACTTTTTGCTTCGCCCCCCTTGGTCGGCCATGACAAGAGCAAAAGAACTTGGAAATTGGAATTTGGACATTGCGCTATTTATATAAACAGCCAAAACCCTTACTAATTTTAGCCCGGAAAGGGAGAATGAGAAGGCATCAGAGAGAAAAATGGGATTTTCAGTAAAGGGTGGTTGCCCTCTCTCTGGTTTATGTCCATGGTTTCTCCATTCTTGAAAAACCAACAACCCTTTGAAAAAAAAAACAAGAAAAGGAAAATAGCACAAATAGCCATTCTCGTCAACAGAAAAGTTTTCTCCGTCAATTTGGTTCTTGACTCTATATATCAGCCAAAACCTCTTGAATCTCTAGAAAAAAGGAGCTATTATGCTCTTCCTTTTTCTGCTTCTGCTGATTTTGCACAAGTACCCGCTTTTATGTCCCTTTGTATTTACAAGGTGACAACTGATTTGCACAAATAGGATACTGAAATTGGCTGTGATGATGATTTGCTTCTTTCTTTCTGGGCTATATCTATTTTACATGCGTTGAGAAAAAAACCGACCCGTATCTTGGCGGGGCGACCCGTGTATGGCAATAATTTGCAAACCGGTGTCTTGCAGCCATGGCGTGTGTCTGCTTTCTCTTTGCATGTTCATGGGATATACAGCAAAATCTGAGCCCTAGATACCCATTTTGGGTTCTTTAGTTTTTTTTTTTTTTTTTTTGCAGATGCAGTTTCCCATCAATTTTTTAGCTCAAAAGTTGAGGCACTTGGAGAAAAAGAAAAATGATTTTTAGCTCAAAAAATTAGGCAATTGAAGAAAAAAATGCACTTTTTGGCTAAAAAATTGAGGCAATTGGAGAAAAATGGGATTTTTAGCTCAAAAAATGAGGTAATTGGAGGCAAAATGAGATTTTTAGCTTAAAAGCGAGCTAATTGAAGAAAAATGGGGGGGGGGAGGGGGGGTTTAGCTAAAAAAATGAGGAACATCTCCAGCATGCCTATGATTGCTAGTTACTATCAGCTCTAACCAACAACCCTTTTTGTATGGGAAAAAGTTCCAAATTTGCCCCTCAACTAGCAAAATGTTCTACTTTGAGAAAATCCGACCCGTATCTTGGCAGGGCAAACCGTGTGCGGTAATAATTTGCAAACCGGTGTCTGCAGCCATGGCATGTGTCTGCTTTCTCTTTGCATGTTCATACGGGAGAAATTAAAAAATAGCCAGATTTTATAGTGGTAATCGAAAAATAGCCAATAATCGAAATTTAGCCATTTTGGCTATTTTTCAATTACCAGTCCGAAAATTGGCTAGCCCGTGCTATTTTATACTGAGCAAAATCTGAGCCCCGTGCTATTTTATATAGAGCAAAATCTGAGCCCTAATTCTTTTAGCTCAAAGAATGAGGCAATCGAAGAAAAATGGGATTCTTCTAGGTACTTGACAATTTCTGCCATGCCTACGATTTCTAATTTGCTCAATCAACAGCAATATTTGCATGTGTGTGTATTGTATGTCTCTTTTTGTCTCTCTATCTGTGACTACTTTGCTCCTGCGTTTTAGGCAAAGCATAGATAAGAGAGGGACTTTCCAAGATTCGAACACAGGACCTCTTGTTTGGTGAAACCCATGTCATTTTCTTCTTAGCATCGCTCAAAAAATGAGGTATGAGAGAGAATTGTGGTATATGCATTTAAAAATTGGATCTTTTTTGTATAGCCATGTTGTTGCTGCTGCTGCTGGAATTGCTTCTGTTTGTGCTGTTTGCTGTTATTGCTGCTGTTGGGCTGTTTTACGAACCAAACAGCAAGGGATCAATGTAACAAGGGAGAAGTTAAGGCTGTGATGGTAATGCTAAGGAGGGGGTCTTCCCTTGTCCTAAGTATGGTTTTCTGATATACTCACAAAGATGCCTCGATTGAAACATCATGGCATGGTAACCCCGAGAGGTTGCAGCCATGGCGGGGTAACCTGGAGAGATTGTAGGGTACATGATGCGCATCTCTATATGTTTTTTATTAGAAAATATCGAAGCTGCGTCTGTACTGTGGCAGGGTACTATTCTTCCACTAGACCACTTGTCCTTCTTAACATGATGCGCATGTATATTGTCCGGAAACTAGGGGTATCAATGGTTCGGTTTGGCCAGTTATTTTACAATGAGATCCATATTTTTGGGAGGTTCAAAAGAATTAGAGAACTATAACATGAACCAGAAGGTCAAATGAAAATGGCAAAAATCTCAATGGTTCAAGTCTGAGGCTGCTGGGTTCAGAGAGTTGTGGGGAGTTGTTTGAGTGGTTGTCCCTCTCTGTCATTCCTAGCAGCCAATGATCACTCAATATCTCCCAATTTCGGACCACCCTTTAGCAAAATAAGTTCGACGAGCCAGTGAAGATTTTCACTCTTTACTCATCAGATGGTTGAGCTTTGCTATATCTTGGCGTGGCGCTTTTGGTTGGTCTTGAGATATGGGAGCTATTTGATTTCCGTGTCTCACAAAGGCTTCCCATTAAGCTTGCAGCCATGGCAGAGTTTAGCTTATGCTTGAGAAGAGGCTAATCTTAGCTGCCCAAGTATCTGTATGTTTTCAAAGAAGGAGGCTTTTTATGGAAGTCGAGAAAGGTTGAGATTTTCTAAGGGTGGTTAGTCTCTTCCTCTGAAGTTCAGTATAGCCGATGAATTTTCCAGTACTATTGTTACAAAGATAAAGATTAACAGCCCTATCATCAGCTAATGCCAATTATGCTCTTGATGATGATGACGACGACGACGATAACCATGGTTATGGCAAGCAAACAACAAACAACAACAAACCCAGTTAATCCCTCGTGTGGTGTCTTGGGAGGAGTGTATACGCAGACCTTACCCCTACCTGGTGAAGGTAGATAGGCATGGTTATTGCAATAAGGAAAATACATATTCTGCCCCCTAAGCTTGTCCCGGAGAACCTGAATCCTTAACCCTGAACTTTGTGATGAGGCTATGATGATATTCTCCCGGAAGCTTGAAAATCAGATTTTTGAGCTGATTCGTATCTTGGCTAGGCAAAGGCAGGGAATTTGTGAGGTAGGTTCTTATGTGCTTCTCACGAAGGCATCTGCTTTTTGCAGCCATGTCGGATTAGCCCTTCTTTTATGATAGCAGTACTAAGTACGCCTTGCGTTCCAATTTATGTGAACTGAAAATGTCCAAATTGCTATTGAAAAGTTTCTATCTTTCCAAAGAGGCAGTGATATTATTGTTATCCTGAGCTGAAATTGGAGGCATGGAGAAAACCGACTCGTATCTTGGCAGGGCATACCGGGATCATGCAACTGATTCATTTTGCAGCCATGGCGTTGTTGTCTTCTCTTTGCCCCATTTTACACAGATCTGAGCCTCAACCCTCAGTAGGAAGAATGAGGCATCAAAGAGAGAAATGGGATTTTCAGTAAAGGGTGGTTGCCCCCTCTCTGCCGTGTCCCTGATTTCTTCATTCAATAAAGCAACAACCCTTTGGGAAAAAAGAAAAGAAACGTAAAATGTTTCTGCTTCTTCTGCTACAACAGCTGATTGCACAAATAGCCGATTTTATGACCCCTTATATTTGCGAAGGTGACAACTGATTTGCACAAATAGGATTACTGAAATGGACTATGATGATCGTTTGCTTCTTCCTGGGTTATCTACTTTTACATATGTTGAGAAAGATCTGACCCGTATCTTGGCAGGGCAACCTGTGTATGGCAATCATTTGCAAACCAGTGTCTGCAGCCACAGCCACAGTGTGGTCCCTTTCTCTTTGCATGTTCATAGAATTACAGCAAAATATGAGCCCTAAAGGCCCAATTGGGTTCTTCCGTTTTTTCTTGAACACCCATTTCAGACGCAGTTCAAAAAACGAGGCAATTGGAGAAAAAAGGGGATTTTTTGAGGGTGTTTGACCATCTCCATCATGCCTATGATTTCTTTTTTACTTTTAGCTCTAACCAACAGCCCTTTTTGTATGTGAAAGAGGTCCATATTTACACCTGTACTACATGAAATGGTCTACTTTTGCGCTCCACTTAATAGTTGAGGGCTAATTTTGCACCTGTGTACTTTTTCTTCTCAGGTATCAATACATGATTTCAATCCAAAAAGCACTTTGCTTGCTCAGTGAATGTAGTTGATAGATTGACATATAAATAGAAAAAAATGAGGCTCTGATCATAAAGATAGTGCTTTTATCCATACATATCATGAGAAAATGTCCAAATTGATCCTTTATGAGGCAGTGATGATCTTTCAATCTATCCTCCTGATTTAGTAATTGAGCATAGACAGTACCTGAACTGTATCTTGGCAGGGCAATGTCCCAGATGCATGTGATAAATTGTAACATGCAACTGAGGGTATTTGCAGCCATGGCGTGGCCGGACTTTCTCAGTTTGAGCGTAAATACAGCTCTGAGCCTCAGTTATTAAAAAAAAAATTAGAGCGTTATAAGATGAAGCAGAGGGGGAAATAAGAATGGCAAAAATCTCATTAGTTTAAGTCTGAGGCTGCTGGATTCAGAGAGTTGTGGGGAGTTCTTTGAGTGGTTGCCCCTCTTTGTTATTCTTAGCAGATCACTGAAAGTTTCCTAATTTCAGAACACTCTTTAGTGAAGAAGTTCAAATAAGGCAGTGAAGATTTTCATTCTTTACTCATCAGATGGTTGAGCTTTGCTATTTCTTGGCGTGGCAGCTTTTGGGGTCTTGTGAGATATAGGAGCTATTTTGGTTTCCGTGTCTCACAAAGGCTTCTTAAGCTTGCAGCCATGGCGGGGTTTAGCTTATGACTGAGAAAAGGCGAATCTGAGCCCCTCCCAAATGTCTGATTGTGTTCAACGAATGAGGCTTTTTATGGAACTCGGAGAAAGGTTGAGATTTTCTAGGGGTGGTTACTCTCTTCCTCTGAAGTTCAGTATATCCAATGAATTATCTTATACTTTTGTAATGAAGAGAGATCACCAGCCCTTTCATCAGCAGAATGGCGATTATGGTGACGACGATAGCCATGGTTATGGTAATAATAAGGGAAAATACATATTTTGCTCCCTACACTTGTTCGGAAAAACCCAAATCCTAAACCCTGAACTTTGTGAATGAGGCTATGGTGATATTCCAGGAAGCTTGAAAGTTGGAGTTTATAGCTGATTCATATCTTGGTTAGGCAAAGGCAGCAGTATCTGTGAGGTGGGTTCTCACGTGCTCTCTCACAAAGGCGTATGCTTTTTGCAGTCATGGTGGATTAGTTTTTTTTTCGTCTGGTAGATCGAATCTGAGCCTCTTTTCTGTGCTATGTTTGTTCTACAATGGGTGGTCTGTTTCTTTTGTTCTTTTTATGCTCATGTTGTATAATATTGGTCTGAGATGCCGTCTACGTGGAGTTACATGATTTATGAACGGAATGACATGTTCAGTGAGGATTCATATAGTTGACCCAGCTTGTCTGGGATTGAGAGGTTGTTGCCGTGTTCCTTTCATATTCATGTTCGACGCTGCTTTTGCAAAATATCAGGAACAATCCCAGTTTCAAATAAAAACTGTTATGTGTTTCTCTGCACAGTTTGGAAGAGTGAAATTATTAGGTACCGATGTGAAACAAGTCCAAAGGGAATGGAAGTGAATATTACGAATTCATAACTGTCTTTAACCAGTTTGATATTGAAGCTAGTTGCTGATTTTATCTACACAATTTTTCAAACTTTCATGCCTTATTTCCATCTTGAAAATCCCATGTTTTTGAGGCAGTGAAGATTATGTATAATGAAAATGAAAAGTGAAAAATATTAGAGTTGGTTCCTGGCCTGGTGTGGCAAGACCAGTCGGAAGGTCTTTCTTATAAGGCAACTGATGGTTGCAGCCATGGCAATGTTAACTTTGCTATTTCCTTTGATTAAATAGGCTAAAATGTGAGTCTTATCCTCCACTTGGTTTATTTATATTTTCTTTTTTGACAAGTCTTTCTGGAGATAATTCTAGACTAGAAAATATTTTCGTGGTCTTTGGTCTATTATTTTGAATTCAGGTGCTTCTTTATCCTGAGTGGTTACTGGTTAGTTAAAGATTGGAGGGAGTTATGGTTTCTCAAATTGACCAGGATTTGTTTTTGTGCAGTGCTAAATTGCAACTTGCTCAGTGTTTTTCGTTTCTAATTTCATTTTCTTTTGGTAATTTTTATCCCAGTTAAACAGTAGTTTCTAGGGGCCCTGCTTTACCAGGCTGGGGCAACTCTTTACCAAAAACAGAGGTCTCCGCAAAGTCGTGAATGAAGGGAATATCTTATCGAGGTAATCATATTTCTTTAAGTAAATATGCTCAATTCAAGTTTAAGCTAATGCTCCTTAATTTATCTTTTTTTAAATCAAGTGTATGTATGCTCCTTAATTTCTCTTGAACTCTTAGATGAGATTGTTCACCAATTTAAGAACGAAACTTATGCAGCTGCTGGCTTAACCTGTGTAAAGTCGAATTCCAACTCCATAAAGATAATATCAAGCAGTTCAATGATCATTTAGGAACTAAGATTCTGTTTGTGGTGACCTTTCATGCCTAGTCAAAACTTAGATTTAGATTCAGCACAGAACTATTGTCTCATATTGTTATTGAAGAGCCAAATATAAAGTGGTCATGGAGCTGACCTTTCTAAGATTCTGATAATTTGAGATGCACTATGACACCAACTAAGAATAACAGCATTTTCCACTATGAGTGACTCGTTTGGAAAGACTTAATGCAAACTCATGAGTATAAAGGCTATTTTTGGAGTCCCTCGGTTGCATAAAGACTTTTGAACTTTCTCTTTCATTTTCGTTCTCTTTTCCCAACCACTCCCTCGTTAGAAGCTGGTAGTTTTTATCTTCTTTGGTGATGCATGGCCCTGGCTTTTCCGGGAACTTTTCTATTAAACCGGAAGTCGAGTAGATTAAAACTAGTTAAAACACACAAAACACCGTTCACTGTTTGGATCTGGACTCCAAAATCTGCTTCATTAGTCCTTTAAGTATTTGTCTGCTATCTTTTGTACATGCATACATGTATATTTGTGTGTGTGTGTGGTGGTGGGGGTGGGGGGGGGGTTGTTTGATTTTCTTGAAGAATTCTGAATTACTTTGGCTTGTCTTTTTTTTTTTTTTCTTTTTGTCCAAATTAGTGAATTATAAATTGACTTTTAGTTCTACATAATAATGAAGTAAGGGGTCGTTTGGGTTAGAAAGTAGTGCAGGGGTTAGTTATTGAATTATTGTTGGATATTTTGATTGATATATTTCAAATTAGTATACAGATAGGTGAAAGTTTATGGTAAACCTACTTTCTCAATTCCTTCAGCCCTAAAAGACCGAGGTATCCTTAATACATTGGGCAAAAGTAGAAAAACCAAGACCAACTAGCGCTCAAGTTAATAGCATTGTACGAGTCTTCCACACAAGATGTGTAGGTTTGACTGTTTATTGTTTCTTTGGTTCTCCATTCTCAAAAAAATTGAAACAATACTGTCTCAATTTTTTTTAAAATATGTGATGATTTTTATAATATTTTTACATGGTTTTTATATATATGTTTGTTGAATTTTATAGATTGTGTAGCAGAATCCTCGTAGTTACCAAAAAAGAAGAATGAGACGCCAGAGAGAGATGGGATTTTCTGTAGGGTGGTCCCCTCTCTGCTATGTTTTCTCCATCCGTGAAACAAACCTTTGGGAAAAAGAAAAACAAGAAAAGGAAAATGATAAACCTCAACAACACCCCTTCAGTATTTACCTCTGTCAAAAAACTGCTACGCTCGTTCTTTCTCTGCTTCTGCTGCTACCACTGCTATCTATGATAACAGCAGCCCTAGAACTTTATACCTGGTGTCATTTCTACATTGATCTTCACAGATCACCTGAAAATGGGCTGTGATGATGATTGCTTCTTTCTGGGCTATCTAGTTTGTTGCTTTGAGAAAATCCGACCCGTATCTTGGCGGGGTGATTTGGTATGGCATCATATGCAAACCGGTGTCTGCAGCCATGGTGTGTGTCGCTTTCTCTCTGCATGTTCATATACAGCAAAATCTGAGCCCTGTAAATTCTCTCTGATAGTTTAGTGTGTTTTACTTCACAAAAATGGAGGTTGAGCTATGAGGAATGAGGTAAACAGAGAGAAAAGGGATTTTCTCAAATGTTTGGAGGACACTAATCACTGAGCCGTACTTTAAGATGCCAAGAATAGCCAAAATTCCCAAAAAATTCTTGTTAGCCAATTTTATCTTTCTATCGATGAGCTTTCCTTCTATTGTTCTTCTTTATCGCCGGTTCGACTTGTTGAGGATGTACAAAAACTTGATTGGCCTTCAAATGGTAAACCATCGAGTTTCAGAATCTGTTGATGTTGTAATGGCTTGTCTCTTATTGGGGTTCATAATTGTCCTATAAACACCTCATACTTTTGCTATGGGAACCCCTCCACAAGAGAATCAATAGTAGTTCCCCATCCAAAATTTTCATCGGAGTAATTTTGTACTTGTGGATTGCGATATGACTCAACTAGTGATGACTATAAGATCAATCGCACAGCACACAGTGAAATTCTCGTGCTGAAAAGTGGTTCCTGGAGAAAAATTGATGAACATCCTACTGGCATTTACCATGTGTTGTCTTATATGGACTCTTTGGCATTTGTACATGGAGCATTTCATTGTCTTGCTTTGTCACTGAATAATTCTGTGGTTTCATTTAGTATTTCAAATGAGGTGTACAGAGAGATAAGAGGGATTGTGCATTTGTGCTTGATTTTAAACAAAGTGGCGTTTCAATTTTGGGAAGAATGTTGTGTGGTTATTCTACTTATAACCATCAGAGGAAGGACACTTTTAAGTTATGGGTAATGAAAGATTATGGTGTCGAAATCTTGGAATAATTTGTTTAATATAGAAGGTCTGTCTTTTCTGCCATACAGAAATATAGATTTTGGATGTTGAAGTGCTACTCTGTTGCGAACTTTTGAAACATTTTGGTTCTGTATTGAGGACATCCACAGGATCTTCTGAATTATGGCCTCGATGTGTACCGTTCAGAATGGATTCGTTCATAAGAAAGCTTGATCTCTCCAAAATTAATTACTTAGTATTTACTTGTGTACGATCGAGACACTTTTTTGGGTAATAATATTACAACCAATTTTTGGTTAAAAAAAAAGAAAGAAAAGGAAATGGCACGAGCTAGCCACTTTCAATGGTGCTAATGCCACAACTGATGTTGATTAATCTTCGCGGATCACCTGAAAATGGGCTGTGATGATGATTGCTTCTTTCTGGGCTATCTAGTTTATTGCTTTGAGAAAATCCCACCAGTATCTTGGCGGGGCGACCTGGTATAGCATTATATGCAACCCGGTGTCTGCAGCCATGGCATGTATTGCTTTCTCTTTGCATGTTCATACACAGTAAAATCTGAGCTCTATAAATTCTCTTTTACAAAATCAGAGTGTTTTAACTCACAAAAATGGATCCCAGTATGAGGAATGAAGCCAACAGAGAGAAGGGAATTCTTGCCGGGTGGTTGCCCCCTCTACTTGGCCTATGATTTTCTCAATCTACTAAACCAACAACCCTCTTTATAAGTACTACTACTACTACTACTACTAGTTTCTGAATCATAAATTCTGATTTCTCTGAGCTTTACCAAACATCCTCGGATCCTAGCTTTTGTTTGTCAAATATTGGCCAAACGGGCTCTATGGAAAGGTTACCATTTCTCAAAAGAGGCAGTGGTGATATTGCTAATCTGGGATGATATTCGGGGCATAATAACAATTCGAACTATTTCTTGGCAGGGCAAACCCGGATGGTTTGTGATTGAGGCTTCTCTGTCACATGCAACCGGTTCTTTTGCAGCCATAGCGTAGTCACCTTCTCTTTGCCCCATTTTAAGCAAATCTGGGCCTCAATTGTCTCCCATATCTTACTTTGGGTGTATTTGATTTGGCGAAGCCCTCGTATATTTTAGCTCAAAAAGGAAGGAGGAGGAATCAGAGAGGGGATTTCTTAAAAGGGTGGTTGCCCCTCTCTGCTATGTCCCGTGATTTCTCCATTCATAAAACCAACAGCCCTTTGAGAAAAAAAGAACAAGAAAAGGAATATGATAAACCATTCCAACAACACCCCTTGAGTATGTACTTCTCTAAAAAGGGCTTTGCTCTTCTTTTCTCTGCTTCTGCTGATTTACACAAATATCCACTTTTATGGATTTGTATTTGGAATCCACGACTGATGCTGATCTTCATAGATCCTGAAAATTTCACCGGACGTCCCTTTTGAGAGAAGGGTTTTAAATAATGATCCTATATGTGCAAATCTCCCTCGCAGATCACCTGAAGTGGGCTATGATTATTGCTTCTTTCGGGGAGTCTTTTGCACAGCTGAGAATTGGCCCAGAAGGAAGAATGAGGCCAATAGAGAGAAAATGGATTTCTTCGAGGGTGGTTGCCCTCTCTGGCTGGCCTATGATTTCCCCACCAACCAAACCAACAACCCTCTTCCTTTTTTTTCCCAGTTGGTATATTTGTGACATTACATAGCTTTTTAAGCAAAAGAGAGAGGATTCTGGGGCTGTGATGATACTGTCTTTTCTTCTTTCAAGAGCTAATCAATTGGTCAAGAGAAGTAAAGGGACCCGTATCTTGGCGGGGCAACCCGGATGGCAAGTGATCTTTGTGTCATGCAACCGGTATTTGCAGTCATGGCGATGTCTTCATTCTCTTGTCCTATCAACAGATCTGAGCCTCCATTACTCTTATAGCTTGTTCGGATGGTTGTTACCCAGTGTATTGTATTGTTATTTTAAAAGGGCGTCTTTGGTATGATGGAAAACATCAGTATTTGGTTACTAATGTACAACTCTGAGAAGAAGAAAGTTCGTCAGGTGAGAGCTGAGAATTTTCTAAAAAAAAGGTTGGGCCGCAAAGAGAAATGAGGCTAACAGAGTGAAGGGATTTTCTGTTAAGGGTGGTTGCCCTTCTCTGTTGTGCCAATCATTTTCTGTAGCTACTAAACCAACAGCCCTTGTTCATGAAATGCAGAGAAACATCATATGCTTTTTCAGTGTACAGCTTAAGCCATGGACCTCCGTGTATGTGTGTTTCTTTTTCCTCCTTTGGAATAATTTTACAAAAGAGGCAGTGATGATAATATTCTTTCACTTTCTGGGCTAAACAAATTGGACATTGTGGACAATCCGTATCTTGGCCTGGCAAATCCCTTGTTGTGCATGCAACTGGTGATTTTGCAGCCATGGCGTAGTTGCCTTCAC